ACCCGTCGCCGCGTTGCGGCCGCATTGCATCGCACTGCGGTGCACTGCTTGGCACCGCATAGCTTGCACCACCTTAGAGGCCTTCTAGATGGGGTCGGAGTAAAGTGGAATTTTGACGTGGCCTCGATTGGGCTGAAGGGGGGGCCGAGTGGCGAATATTTACGTTTGGCTTTGCAGAACCTAGATAATTTTGGCATGGCCTCTTTTTGGCTGAGGGGGAGGCCGCGCCAGCAAATATGTGGCTTTTGTTGCCATAATCCATTGATTTCCGATGTGGTCTCCTTTCGAGGCGGGGATTTATCCATATCCACCACCTGGGAACCGACGTCCTGTTGCCCAAGCAGGCGGTGGATATGGATACATTCTGGCTGCCGAGGTCCCCGAAAACAAATCCTCCAGGCGGTGGTCATGTATACACCCTGCGAAATGCTTAAGAAATCATGGGTTAAGAAATTCGTAGTCTCAGAATTTAACTAAAACCCAGAAATTGTATCAAAATCTTGGGAATTAAATTGAAACATTAAGAATAATCGAGACTCTGGCCGAAAATGTAAGTTTTCTTGAGCATCGCCTGAGGTATACATTCCCGCCTCGGATAGACGGGGTCGGAGGGTCGCACCGCATCGCCGATACATCATCGGCGCTGCATCGGCGATGCATCGGCGATGCACCGGCGATGCATCGTCGCCGTCGGCGGTGCATCGGCGACGCCGGCGCGGAGAAAATCGGGCCCCGCATCGAGCCGCATCGCTGACGTATCGGCGATGCGACGGGATACTCCGACCCCATCTATTCGGACCCCATCTAGGAGGCCTAGACACATGGACTTCACTACCTGAATTGCACCACCAGGATCGCACCGCCTGGATTGCAACGAAAAGATTGTGAGAAATCATTGTTTCGGGTCCACGCTGGCTGACATACCATGTTGTATTGTCACGCCACCCTGTCGAACTCACCAGACGTGTCCGTGGGGCGGACTGGGCGTTTCGCCTCAGACTTCCCCACAAAGCATGATCCTGAAGCTTGACATGTTCAACCAGTGCACGGATGGAGTGCATGTCGCTTTCAAAATGTGGTTATCGATTTAGCGCCGCGCTCATTCGTCTTATGAGTTTGCAACTGCTTCCAATACGGAGGGCGGGTGGTCTTAAAAATGTTACTCTCACTGTAGCGCCGCGCACAGTCGTCTTCACAACTCAGAGCATTTCAAGGATGGAGGACGGCTGGTTTTCAAAATGTCGCTCTCGCCTTAGCGCCGCGCTTAGCGTCTTAAAAGCTTGCAGCAGTTTCAAGGGTGGGGTGGGGGGTCACAATGTGGCGGACGCCGTGGCGCCGCGCACATTCGGTTTCAATTTTTCACGGGCTTCTAAGGATGGAGGCTGATTCCTTTTTAAATCTGGCGTTCACTGTAGCGCCGCGCACATTCATTTCAAAACTTGGCACCTGTTTCAAAGACACGTATGGTTAAAGTCCAGGGAATGATGTTCTGGCTTGCTTGAGGATCGTCAGGACGCAGTATAGTTGACTCGCAGGGTCGACGGCCCAAAATGGCGTTCTAATGCGATTGAGGATTTTCAATCTGCTGTGTTCCAGCAAGGCACTTCCCGCAATAAAAATAATTCCCGTAGGGGCACCTCAAGAGGGATCTTAGCAGGAGGGTTGATTGCAACATCGCTGATGCGTCGTAGGTTTAAACTGGTCCTCCTCCTCCTCCACCTCTTGCTCCGTATCCTCCGCCTCCTCACCCTTCTCATATTACTCCATGTCCTCCTCCTCCTCCTCCTCCTCCTCCGCCTCTTCGCCCTATTATCATCATCATCTTACTCCATGTCCCTCTTCTCATCTTCCATGCCATCCTCCTCCCCACCATCCTCCTCTTACTCAAAGTCCCCCTCCGTGCCAGAGTACTTCGGAGCCCCCCTCCTACCTCCGCCTTGTCTTACTCGATGTGCTCCTCCTCTTCCTCCTATTCCAATCCTGCTCCTCCTCGCATTACTCCATGTTATCTTCCTCTTCCCCCGACAACCGGTACATTCACAGTCCAAATAAAGCATGCCGACCCAATCATATTCGAAGTATTCGCTCAATGAACAATGGCATTGCGATCAAAGACTTACGCAAGCTGAAAGATTTTCCTCATGAGCCCCAAATGTCGGAAGCGACGTGCCGTTCAGGTGAGCGGATACATGCAGCGCTCTCTTCGGCTTCGTGCCTCCTCCCTCCTCCTGTCCCCTTTTCCCCTCTCCGTCCTAGGAAGACCCCCCCTTCCCCCGTAGGATCATAGCTTTGGTCAGCAGGTCCACAGATCCGTGGATAGCATGATGCTCCACGTGCGGTGCCCCGGAGCTCCCGTTTCCCCTGGGTCCGGGATGCGAATTGGCATTACAGAATTAGACCCGGAAAATAAATGGATGCATGTTTCTTTACACGCGGGAAATTGGATCCGCGCAAGACAGAACTAGGATCTAAGACACTGTCGCACACCCGACAAAATCCAATTGGATCCATCGGTGTTCTCATGTGTTTAATCCAAGAGGAAAAACTGTTAAGCCTGGGGATGTAACTTGGACTGTGAAAGGAAGCAGGAGAAAGACTGAGAGAGAGAGAGAACAAAACGACATAGAGAAGAGAGAGAGAGAGAGAGAGAGAGAGAGTGAGCGAGAGAGAGAGAACGAAACGAACAAACAGCACCAACAAAAGAGAGAGAGAGACGAAGAACATTTCTCCCCGCGTGACCCACCTCTTCCCCACTTCACAGTACGTCACCCCAACCAACTCCACTCCGCTCTACACTTCCGCACTACTTGGTACGAAATCCCACCTCTCCCCGTGTCGCCCCACTCCTCCCCACGTTGCCGCCCCCGAGACATGTTATCAAGCACATTGGGTCCCGTTTAGGCAACACACAGAACTCGAATGTGTCTGGGTTCTCAAAAAGCTGAAGCCGTTGACATATTAGCTCGTGTGTTTCTGACTTCGCTGATTTAGCTGGAGGCGCTACTTCGGTGAAAAATAGCGGTTTCACAGTACTTGTGCCTTCGACAAGGGGGTCTGACAGAGGCTATGTTTCAAGATCGTCTCGGCATCGCATCACAGGCGGCCCAACATGGCGCCACGAGAGCTTACTCCCGCGCCCATAGCTGTCCTGTCCCTTCGTGATGTGATATTAATATTGCTGCTCTGTCATACACAAATATTCGATCTCACGCGCTTCCCACTCATGGAAGGAAACGCCTCTAAAAAGCACAAGGACTCGCTCGAAGCAAGCTCTGAGCTCTAGCGTATAGGCACCTCGAGTGGCCCATCGTGATATGCTACTCTCCCTGGGGCCCAGGGGGGAGCATCAATCACGGCCAGACCAGGCGCGTTCGCACAGCGACTTCCGCGTTTGCTCTCGTCTCCTTCTCGTTCGCGGCCCCTTGCCCTTCCTCCACCAGTTCTGTAGGCTCAATCTGTATGGCGATGCGCCAATTTCGTTGCTTTCGATTGGCCTGTGCCCAGGAAGCTCGATTCCTGGCACGCCCAGGCGAGGCCGGAAACGACTGGATCGCGATCACATATTGGATGAGTGCGGCACGGCGCGGCAAGATTGGATCACGATCGAGTGACCCTGGTGACCGCGGGAGGGGAGTGGACTGGAGAGAGGGTAGAGCAGAGAGGAGATGAGAGAGGAAAGCAAGGGGAGGGGAGGGGAGGGCCTCCAGGGGAGGGGAGAGGGTGGCGATCGAGAGGAGAGGAGGGCAGACAGGGGAGGAGAGAGGAGGGGAGGAAGGACAAGAGAGAGGAGAAGGGGAGGGAGGAGGAGGGGAGGGAGGACAGCATGGAGACCTCATCCTCTCCAAGTCTTGCCCTCCTCCCCCCCCCCTTCTCCTCGGCTCACCGGCCGGCGGGGACCAGCTGGCCCCCCACCTCCCTCTCACAACAACGCCTGGCCGGTGGCCCCCCGCCACCCATGCGCCGCGCGGGGCAACCATCGCACTCGGCTCGCCGCCGCGTTCGGCTCTGGCTGGCGGCGGCACACAGTAGCCACAGAACGGGAAGGGTGAGGGGAGGGGAGGAGGGGAAGGAGGAGCAGGTAGGAGGAAGGGGAGTGGGGGAGGAGGAGGAAAGAGGAGGAGGGAGGAGAGGGAAGGAGGAGGAGGAGGATGAGGAGAGAGGGCGGAAGAAGAAAGGCGGAGGAGGAGTCGGGGGGGGAGGGTGGGGGACAGGGGAGAGGAGGAGGTAGAGAACGAGGAGTGGTGAGGGGGAGGAGGAGGAGGATGAGGAGGAGGGAGGAGTAGGAGGGGAGGGCGGAGGAGGATGAGGGGGAGTAGGAGAGGAGGTAGGAGGGAGGGAGGAGGAGGAGGAGGAGGATTTTTTTCCAACATCAACCGCAGAGAGAGGTGAGGGCCGCCAGATTGAAACAGCCTGGGCTGAGACAAAAGCTGGCGGCAGCGGACCAAGGCGGTGGCCGACGCGCACGACGGGCACCCCAGGGACCGAGGTCAGTCGGAGTCGTCAGACCCCGCAGACCTCAGAAGTGCAGCACGCCCTCGAGCGACACGAAGACCGCGAGGAAGTAGCCGAGGAGGAGGAGGAGGAGGAGGAGGAGGAGGAGGAGAACGAGGAGAACGAGGAGAACGAGGAGACACAGAACGGGGGTGGCGCGAGGGGGGCCGCCTTCCGAGAGAAAGCGGAGGGCCTCGCGGAGGGAAGGCCGGAGACAGGCCTCCAAGGAGGCCTCTCCCAGAGGGGCCACCAGCAAGGCCTGGGAGCCTCCTTGGAAGGGCCCCCTGGGGCCCCTACAGAGGCCTCCTCCTCCCCTCCTCCTCCCCCTCCTCCTCCTCCTCCTCCTCCTCCTCCTCCTCCTCCTCCTCCTCCTCCTGTGGGGGGATGCACCACAGAGCGACGACCCCCACCCCGTCCATGGACAATCACCTTTGAGGGATCGGCCCAATGCCGAAGCGGGCCCGAGAGGCTTTGTCGGCCAGGGGGTCCCGCAGGTTTCCCTCTGTAAAGCCGAATGAGACAGCCAGCAGCAACAAGCTCGAAACGAAATCGAGCAGTGCATTGTTTCAGCCGAGACAACGCACGATGACCTTCCAAGGCTTCCGACTCCTCCTCCTCCAGAGGCCTCGCTGGGCGGCCACATGCGAACCCTCCCCCCCCGGGTTCTGAGGGGTGAGGTGGGGTTCGCCTCGCTCGGGAGCTCCCGAGCGAAGCGAGCCCCACCCTCTCCCCTCAGGAATCGTGGGGAGGCTGGGGCAGGTTTCGCACGTGGACGCCAACTCGTGGCAGCTGGGAGGGCGCTTCTGGAGAGCCGCCTGCCTTCTTGCGCAGAGCCGCCCTGCCTCCTCGGCGGGGCCGCCCCCCTCGCCCCACCAACTCGTGCGCGCCGCCCGCGTATCGCCTCAGCTCGGCGCCGCCAGCTCCGCGTCGATGTCCCGCGCCGTGAACCCCTTTCTCTGCATGCACTCGACCCACGCTTTAGGCATCCTCTCCTTTCGGTGGTGGGCAAACCTCCCTTTTGTAAACCACCCCCTGGTGAAATCGGCCTGGGGCCGAAACCGACGGACCTGGACCCGCAAAAATGACGGCCGCGACGCCCTCGCGCGAGCCGAAAACGGCCAATTCGCTAATCGACGTGTCAGGGTAGGAGGTCTATCAACCTCCGATCCTTCATGGCGCGGGAGCAGCCGCGGTCGAACGCCTTCTTCTGCAGAGGCTGCAGCACGGCGGCCCTCGAGCCCTCGTTGAGCGCGTGAAACCACCGCATGGTGTCCGGATGCACGTAGTGCACGGTGAGGAAGCTACCCTGGCGTGCAAAACCTTCGAACTCGTCCAAGTCGGCGATGGGGAAGCCGTACATGTTCTCGGCGAGTAACAGATCTGCCCCGTGCTTGCGGAGCTGGCAGCTCGTCGTCATGTCGTTCGGCCAGGGCGTCTTGTCGTAGACCGCGTGCAGCGCCGGCGCCCCGCCGGCCAGCAGCCGCTGCAGGGCCGTGCGGCTGATGATGTAGCCGCTCCCGCCGCAGATCCCGCCGTGCGAGTTGTAGGCCTCGTTGTCCACGCAGAAGGAGCCTTTCCCGCATCCGACGACGCCGTACGCGACGTTAGCACTGGGGTCCTTGTCGCTCAGGAACTCCTCGACGCGGCCCGTGTGTACATAGTTGTCCTCGCCGATCACGTACAGCCAGTCCGCCCCCCGCGCCGCGCCCTCCGCGAGCAGGGTCGCCTCCTTGCAGGAGGCCCTTCCCTCCTCCCTGTCTTGGCGGCGCGCACCCGGGGGCGGGGGGAGGGGGGAGGGCTTCTTAGAAACAGGCTGCTTCTTAGAAGGCGCCGGCCTTACATCTATAGGTAAGGCCCGCGCCTTCTAAGAAGCAGGGGTGATTCTAAGAAGCCCTCCCCCCTCCCCCAACCCCCCTCTGCGCGTGGCTGACTGTCGTTTCTAGCGCGTCGCGCCGCCCGCCGCCCTCGCTTCTCTGCGTTGGGCCGCCTGGGACACAGGGCTGGGCCTCCCTTCGCCGGGGCGGGCGGCAGTCGCAGCAGGCTCTCGGGGTGAGCGCCTTCAGCAAGACGGTGCGCAGACGGCTGGAGCGCCGAGACATCGGCGGATCGGAAAACGCTAACCCCCGAAACGTGGCGCAGCTACCGCCTGGTCTGGCAACCGAGCGCGCCGACGGCGTGCGGAAACGGGCCCCGCCGCTGACCCGCGTACCTCAACCCATGCTTGCGCTTCCTCGGTCCGTGCCTTGCTCCTCTCCTCCCTCCCCCCCACCCCCTCCCATGCCGTGCTCTACAATGCATCGCGTACCCTTTCGGGATCATTGCCCTGCTCGACATCCGACTGTGCGAGTAGAGAGGGGATCCGCGCCATGGTAAGGGATGGGAGGGAGGGGTAGGATGTTAGATATGACGCGAGCGCACCTAGCTTGCCCCCACCCCCTCCCATGCTACCCGCATCTCTCCAGGGGTGTGTTCTGACCAGACCTTTCGAGGCGCCGCCAGCCGTGGCGACGGGGGAAGGGCAGCGGCAGCGGCACATCTTTCGCCCCTGGCCCGTCCTTGCAGGAGATCGAGGACATGTCGTCCCCGCAGTCCGACTTCAGGACGTTCTTGCCCTGCCACTCCTCCGGGTAGTTGTTGCCGCCAACGGCCACGTACCTAAGACGAAGCGAGCGTTTTCTTACTCGGCGCTTCGATATTGGGCCGAATAGGGGGGG